GAGATAATATTTCTTTAAGGGCTGATTTAATACGATAATTTATGAAAATATTGGACAGCACAAAAAAAGTATTAAAAAGAAAGTTAATCGTAAAAATATGAAGAATTTCATGACCAGTATAAAAGCAGATATTGACCTTTATTTTAGGACTAGGCCTAAAGGAAAAGTAAGAAGTGAAAATGAAAAAGAATCTAAAAATCAGTGGCGGCTTGTAACCAAAATGTTGGGGGTTCACAGTGAAAGAATATAGATATCAGTACAGATATATGAAAAAAACTTTCGGTGGTTTAGAAAGTTTACAATATACCTTTCTAAAAAACTGACAGTTATTTACCTATATCTGTACCGACATCTATATTCTGCTACTGTAAACACCCAAAATTTTGGTCTCCCCTGCTAAAAATACTAAATTATTGTAAACGGACTAGGTTTTGTTAATAATGACAAACATTAATAAACGTATTAATTTTAACCCTTTTATTTAATAAGGTAGTTACCAGAATATCTTCTTCTTACATAATGCAAAAGAATTAAATGATACTCTTAGTTAAAGTTGCGAAAAATAATATTAAAAATAACAAATATATTTTCAAATTTAAATTACTTTCAACCCGTAACAACTTTTGGTATTTAAACCACGTAAACTCTTTGATTTAATTTGTTCAAAACTAAACACATTCATACATTTTATTTCCATCACAACCCGTATGACTAACACAGAAAAGTAATTGAACATATCACACTTCAAAATAATGTTCAGTATCCTGAAAGCGTGGCTTAAAATAGTATATTTTTTTAAGAAAAACACAAATATATTTTAAAATGTTAAAGAACCAAACGAGGGTGTAGCTGCAGGCACGTAGCTAACAATGAAAAGCTATTTTTCCTTAGGAAAGTGACACATATCACACTATATAGTCCTATCACACGCGTATGAATAAGAATTTACTTTCCACCCGTGTGCGAATATGCTACTTTCCGCATCAGCTGTCACAAATTGTCAATCCCATCATTTCTATTTTGATCTATGTAATGTCCATATTAATACCAAAATCGATATGATTGTTAAATTTTGAAATTGTTGTAAATTAGATCCTAGATATTTATCTTTACCAATTATTATTAAAATAATTTTAAAATAACTAAGTTATGTTTGCTTTTTAATCTGGTTAAACACATAACCGATTAGATCATTTAATTGACGCAAGGCCTATTAGCTCATGTGGTAGAGTATCAAACTTTATCAACTTTGCCATTTGAGACCTGACGAGCGACCGCGTTCAAATCCTTTCGAAGACAGATTTTTTTTTGTTTTTTTTTTTTGTTTAGAAAATATGAAAATTGAATAAATACGATTATTATTGATTGTTTTTTTAAATTCATTTTGTTTATTATAATATAAATCTCGTTTTACATTTCCGCATCAGCTATCACATAATGTCAAACGCATCATTTCTATTTTGATTAATGTAATGTCCATATTAATAGTAAAATCGATAGGATGAATAAATTATTAAAATTGATATTTAAACTTAGATCAAAGATATTTATTTTTAACTATTATTAAAATAATTTTAAAATAACTACATACATCTCAATATTTCGGCTTTTTATTCTGTTTAAACTTAAAATCGAATTAAAAATGCAATTTGAACTTTGACTTACACGACGGGTCCGCGGGCCCGCGTTCAAAACTTGGTGGTTGCAGAATTTTTTTTGTTTTCTTTTGTTTTTTGTTTTTTTTTTATTTAGTTTCGAAAAATATGAAAATTGAATAAATACAATTATTGTTGATTATTTTTTTAATTACATTTTAATTATTATAATAATAACCTGGTTTTACATTTTTTGATGAAATTATTTTGTGGTCGTACGAAAAATATTCTACATCACTTGTGTGAAATGTGATTTTCCACACTCGTGTGATAGTCGCACTCGGCTTGTGGCTCGTGCAACAATATTGCACTTTCCATACTCATAATATAATATACTATTTCCTACGATCACTATGGAAAGTGACACATATCGCACTATTTTAGTCTGTGGATAAGAATCTCTTTTCCACCCGTAGGTTAGATGAAAATGAGTTTGATGATCTCATCGCCTTCCACTGCGACCAAGATGGATCTAATCTGGCTCTTGCCTAATTTATAGTTCACCGTACAATTCACGACTTTTGATGAAGGCAATGGTCGAATTGAGTGAGACTTGTTTAAAGTCGGTAGGCTCAATTTGGGTAAATCCGAAAACCTGGAACCACCCGCATGTGAATATCTACTTTCCGCATACGTCGGTCAAATATGTCAAACGCGTAATTTTAATTTTGTTCTGCGTAATGTCAATTTTAATAGTAAAATAGATTTGATGATTAAATCGTGCATATTGATTTTTAGACCTATATTCTGGATATTTATTTGTAACAAATTATTAAAATATTTTTAAGTAATATTATTTTTAGATTTTTTTCAATAATATATATGACGAGATATTTGATTAGATAAGCTTATAAGCTTATTAGCTCAGTTCACAGAGCGCCCAACTTTATCAACTTTGCATGTTTCGACCATATCGTGACGAGGGCTCAGCCCCCTCCGATGGAAGCAATATCGTTTTATTTTTATTTTGGAAAAATATCAAAATTTAAAAAATACGACTATTGATATTTATTTTTTTCGTTATTTTGAATAATGTTCACAAAAAAAATTAAAAGTAATTAAGTAGGTAATCATCTTTAATAATATAAAAGTTATTGTTTACGGTTGTTCATCCTATTATTTGTTGTATTTAAAAAATTAAGAAATGAACTAATGAAAAACATTATTGTATTCTAATATTTTTTTATACCTAATGTTATTTTTCCGTTATTATTATATGAAAGTGTAAATGAAATCATATTTTTAATTTCGATAAAACCCTATAGTTAAAACGCTTAAAAATTATTCAATAAACCATATAAAAAACTAGCAACATTTTAATTGAACCTTTATAGCCAGATTTCCTGGTTTGACTTTTTTTTGATAAAATTATTTTGTGGTCGTAGGAAAAGTATTGTACATCACTTGTGTAAAAGTGATTTTTTATCCTCGTAATGTAATATACTATATTTGGCACAAATTTTTATTAAATTAGGTAGGTAGTTTAGTAAGAACCCTTGTAATAATATATTGTCCTGTGTCAATGGCCTCTGATGCCTAGACATGTTAATTTAAAAAAAAAATATCTCTCAACTGCATACATTTGATTGGCCATATTTTTCCAAGTACCTAGTTTGGAATTATTTTAAAGTTTGTTGATGAAACAAGTGCTTGCGATAGAAAATTTCGAGACCAGAAGACGTAATTTCCTCGGTCCTAAAAAAATAAATACATTTTATGAAAAAAACAGAGAAAAAAGTAACCTAAATAAAAAAATGTATGTCCCTGTATATATGGAAAGTACTATAAATTAATTAAACGTAATATAAAAAGTGGAAAGTTAATATAAAAGTGCTAGTGCTAGTACCTACAAGGGAAGTGCAATCCAAAGTAATTTAAAATTTTCATTCAATCTTCATGTTGCAGGAAACCATCTCCAGATAGACGCTAGGATGCTACATTTCTAAATAACGCCGAACTAGGAAAAGAAAACATATTATCGAACAATATCACAAAGACAAGGATAAAATAAAAGGTACTCATTATAAAAATACTAGTGAAATAATTTAACTTGCGAGAACATATATTTAATATAATATATATTGGAAATAAAAGAAGCAGATCATTTTGAACTTGAAAATTAAACATCTAAATAAACACTTTTGATGGATCGTTAGTTTTCGATATTCTTTTTTATTAATTTATTTAATGTCGGCCTATTTTGAACTACGAGGTTTCAACACCGACGCTGGTAAGTACGCTGCCCCAATTACCAGAAATTTAGATGAATACCCTGGTGTTCAAACCAGATGTTGGGATCATTAACGAGCCCAACATCCATGGACTCAGGTCCGACGGCTTTAGATCTTCTCCGACAAGATGGCACACCCCACGCTATATCTCGTACTCATTGATATAATGCCTGCCCGCTATGGTATGCAACTAAGAGCAGTTTGTTCGAACGTACGTCGATTTTCATTGAAATGATCACGCACTACGAACTGCATTGGGCCTGGCTGGACTGCAGATATCTATACACAACAAGTGAACTGGTTAAGCCGGGTTGCTGCCCTATTCGATATTAAAGGCTGGTTGACACTGGTAGTGAACCACGAACGTGACTCACGCTTATAATTCGTTAAATACGCTTGCTTGCGATCGTTTCGTGAAGGCATCGTGTAGTGTTTACACTGACCACTGGAGTTTTCTGTTCAGTCGTGCAAATGGCTTCATTTGTGCTGGAAGCTACAGTCGCAACGTGCGAAATAATAGCCGTCAAAATTAAAAAAAATTGTATGTTGAGAAATAAAAGAACGAAAACAAAAAAGAAGAGGAGATGGTGGACTAGGCAGTGGATTTTAAATAGACATATTACTGGAGCCTCGTCATTAATTCAAAATGAACTTTGTTTAACATATTCAGAAGATTTTAAAAATTTATTACGGATGTCCGAGGACCATTTTAATTATCTCTTGGAATATATATCTAATCGCATACAAAAATCCGACACCCATCTAAGAGAAGCTATTCCTGCTCAAACGAAACTTGAAATAAATCTGCGCTATTGGGCTACCGCCGACAGCTTCAAAAGCCTGGAATTTTTGTTTAAAGTTCCAAAAAGTACAATAAGTAAATTTTTGCCAGACGTCTTGGATAACATATATACCTGTCTGCAAGAATGGATAGAGGTAAGTCACAAAATCAATTAGTTTCATCAGTAACGAACTGCGTAATATATTAAATAACTAAAAAATTTGTATGTAATGTAACAGATATATTAAAGTGTAATGAAATGATTAACAGGTTGTGTGTAATGAACTAAATACTTATTCTAATTGTAAGGTTGGGAAAACTCTTTAAAACATATTAAAGCCTTGTTGGTAAATAGTCAAAATCTTCCAAAGACCACGCACAGCTGGGTAGAGGGCTAGCAGGCATAAAAGATGTAGATACATTCGTATCTGATGAAGGTGGCCTTCCTGGGTAATCTGAGCAGCTATCATCCTCTGTAGTAGATGTCATTGATAGTGATGGTGGCGACATTTGTGCTTCAAACAAAAGAGAAATTATGTCTTTTTGCAAGGAAAGACTTTTCCGGGGAGAAACGTTTCTTAGCATCGACAGAATATATTTTCCAAAATGATCCAAATGGTCTTCACGATTTTGGTTTGCCAAACTTGCGTGGGCTCTACTTGATATTTCATCAAGTTTTTCTAAAGCCTTATCGATGTTTGCGTTAGTTGATGGTGTAACGTTGTTTGGAGTTGCTTTAGATTCTTTTGTTTTATTATTGTCATTTGTCAACTTGGTCGGAGGTTGTCGCTTTTTTCCTTTATTCACCTGCGTTTCAGATTCCAACGTTTGTGACGTGATATTTCTGGACGAAAGCACCATGATGTCATCATGTGCTGAAGTGGATGCCAGCATGTCTTGGGGCATGTCTTGGGGAATGCCTTGGGTTGAGTGTCTACAATTTGTATATCGTCTTGCGTGTCCTGTGTTTTCTATGTTTTCTGAGTATCTTGTATGTCCAGTGTGTCCTGTGATTGCGTATCACTCTGTAAATCAAAAATACACTTACATCAATTAATTAAAATACGAATAGATATATTTGTAATTGTTTTTTGTTTGTTTTTTTAGGTCCCTAACGTAATCGAAAAGTGGCAACAAATAGTAAACGGGTTTTGCACTAAATGGAACTTTCCCAACTGTATAGGGGCGATAGATGGTAAACATATAGTTATCAAAGCACCACAAAACAGCTGCTCTGACTATTTCAACTATAAAAAGAATAACAGTATTATTTTACTAGCGCTGGTGGACCATGATTAGTTTTACATATATCGATGTTGGTGCAAAAGGAAGAGCTTCAGATGGCGGGGTTTGGCAACATTGTTCTTTGCGGCATGCTATTGAGACCCGGGATCTGAATATTACTTTAAACGGAATAATAGTCGGCGATGATGCATTTCCATTGAAAACTTTTCTTTTGAAACCCTACAGCAGGAGACAACTAACACGCGAAGAAAATATTTTTAACTATAGGCTGTCTCGAGCTCGACGTATATCTGAAAACGCCTTTGGTATTTGAAAAAACAATTCCGTTAAGTCCTGAAAAAGTTGATAAAGTGGAACTAGCATGTTGTGCCTTACATAACTGGTTGCGCAAAACAGGCACTACCTATGTACCATTTGGTCTTATTGATTATGAAGATATGAATCATATAAGCCAGCCGGGATCATGGAGAGATTGTACAAGTGATGGTCTTGTAAATATTCAGCAATTAACAGGTAATAGAAATCCTACCAGAGTTGCATCACAAAAACGAGATAATTACTGTAAATATTTTAATGGTGAAGGTGCTGTTCCATGCCAATGGCGGATTATAGATTAAAGGAAATAAATGGACATTATACTCTACTCTATTTTGTTATTAAAATGATTTTTTAAAACAATAAATATACTTGAATTTGAATGAGTTTTTCTTGATTTTACGTGTGGCTTTAGGAACCTATCCATTGTCGTAAACCACACAACTTTTGGAATATAAACAGCGTCGGTAGAACAACCAGATTTATAGCTTTCATTAATTTTTTAACTTCTTGTAGGTACGAACTACGCAAGTTTTTAAATTTCACAAATACATGTTTTGCAGTAAAGTTTTCAATGTTAAGTTGAGCAGCAATTCTTTCGGCAACAGCATTTTTTGCATCCTTGTTGTGATATTTGGGATCTATAGGATTCCATAATAAAGGCTCATTTTCATACAATTCCACAAATGTAATTGTGTCGCGATCGTTCATTTTCAAAATAGATACATTTGGGACACTCATTTTTGGAGTTACGAGCTACCAACAAACATCCTATCTGCAGTGGCAATGCAATTTTAACTAATTTATTATAAAGGAAGCGTGAAATATTAAACACGTTTAATATCAGTCGTGGCGTGGCATGAACAGGTCGTGAAACAGTCATGGGCCACGAAAATCTGTTTACACTAGTAGTGAAACAAGCATGAACTACGAAAGCGTGAGCCACGTTCGTGGTTCACTACCAGTGTCAACCCGCCTTAATGGTAGGATGTTTTCCTCTCCAGCAGTGCGACAGTCGTTAGCGACGTGCGTCGTGCGACATGCAACTGCGGCGACGCGGATTGCGAGTTTGCAACAAATATATTGTTTTACCATTCGACACTTCAGTGTAGCAAAACGTTATGTGTCAAGATGACCGCTTTTCGCCGTAATATTGCTGCCATGCCGCATGTTGTTCAGAAAAGATTTTAAAATTCTCGACGGCATGTAGCAGCGACATACCGCGATGTCGCATTATCGCCGTCGCAAGTTGATAGGTTAAACAACACATTCATTTGGCTACTGTTAGAATAACTCGCCAACACACATTAGTGTCGCACGTCGCTATCGCATGTCGTTCTGCCGGATACTAAAACATCCTACCTTAAATTAGACGAAATTAACTAGCAACTAGCGAGGAAAATACATAGAAGTTGTTACTTACCTATCCGCTGAAGTGTTAAGTTTTCAGACTGTAAATTTTTATTTCCACCCTTGGAAGAAATCTATAAATTGTAAATTCTTATGGTTAAATTATAGAATTCTAAATTTTGCGTGTGAATGGTGACGTATGAATGTTATTTGTTTAGGATAGGTATTAGAATTTGGATTTATTTAAACAAATAATCGTACTGTTAGATGTGATTTATGTGATTTATTTCACATGTGTTTCTTTCTCTGGTGTCTAGGTAATATTTAAATATGTTACATAAACGTCAACAATATAGAATCCAAGGGCTAGATGAAGTAGGTAGGTACAGTGAATTAAATTTTAACAAAATCATAACAAGGCATTTTAATATATGAATAGAAATAGGAGCACATGTATAGGGTATACTCAAATACCTACATAAAACACATATTATTTTCTATGTTTTTCTTACGTAACAAAATTCAATACATGCGTCGACTAATTTCCTTAGTTTTGTAGAAACTTACTCAAAACCCATGATGAAACGTGAAACGAATAAACACGAGTATTGAAAACAGTTTCAATCATATAATTTAAATTAAATAATAAAACATTTTTAAAGTAAAAATAAAGCAATTAATAAAAATAGTGATTTACCCTAATTTAAGTATCAAAATAATATATTTTAATGACATACTAAATAGTAGTAAACATTTACTTTTTTATAAATTGTTTCAATGTCGAAACAGCGTATTTGCGGAAAAAAAATAAAGCTGGTAATTCATAGTTTTCTCCGTGTAGCATCTTGCAACACTAAACCCTGGCCTGGGCAGACAAAAGCTAATAATGAATCTTCTAGTCTTTGTTTTGTTTGGTGTATTAAACCACAATTAAGAATTACTTGCGGTATCGCATATATAAAAAACGAACAAGAGTTATCAAGTTCATGGCACTTGAACGAGAAAGGTAACGCATGCAAACTACATAATGAAATTACCTGTGCGTTGTTTTTGTTTTTTTATCGTTGTTCTTCATAAATCTAAATTGAATATGAGCTTTTTGTTGAGACAGATTTATATTAAAAATTATAGACCTGTTTAAAAGCACTTAGAATAAATGACTGAAAAACGTATAAGCAATGATATGGTCGTGGTATTTTTGGTATCAAGACAAACAGTTAAATAGTAAGTAGTAAAACCTCGAAATACCAAACTCATTTGATTTGTAACAGATAAGAGGAGGAATTAATAAGTTTATGTTAATTAGAACAAACCTACGCCTGGTAACTTAGTTTTTTAAGATCCCTTTATACTTTTGGATTGCTAAACGTAACTATGCTTGCTGAAGCACTCTCTTGTAATGGAACATTTTCATCAAGTGTATGTTAGATGTAGAAGATAAAGGAACCTCATGTATTTGAATGTGAAAATCTAGCTATGCAACTACATAACAAAACTTACCAAAAGCACAGGACAGGTCAGGAATAGGACCACCCGAAATCGAAGAAAGCATGGAAATACAATATTCTTATGATATGCGGTAATACGGAGTGTTATTGAAATACATATAGGTATTAAAACAGATTCATAAATTCACATAATTCACATAATTCAATTTAGATTTTAATTTTGATGACGTCAGTCTTTTCTATATCAATATATATTTCTATTTCTGTTTTGTAATATAAAGCCCTAAAAAGTGTTATCAAAGAAAGCGGTAAAACAGTAATTCTTCTTTGCAGGTTTAATTTATTCCTTATTTATTACCATTCAAATAATTAAACACCGTTTTGTAATACTAAACCCTTAAAATTTCGAAAATTAAAAATTATCACTATCTATATTCAATAAATCGATTTAAACCAGAGATCCTTCGGAAACAGTAAACTTTTACAAGTGTCTAACATAGTTAATGTGAATAGAAATCAATATCGTAGGCGCTTAGTTATGCGCAAGTCCGCTGTCTGGTTAAATCGTGTAGCGCCTCAATAAATAACGTGGGGTTTGAGGAATGACCAACAAAGGCACCCCAAGTCTTAGCTGCCTGGAGTGACCGGAGCTGCTTTCATCAATTAACAGCAGGAACTTGTTGAGCTGGGCGACGAATATGGTTATTTATTAGGTATAGTTTGGTAAAATGTGTGGTTATTAGGTTATTACTTAAGATAATTGTAATTTTATGTTTGCTTCTAGACTTCTAGATCAATAAATGCCACTGCTTTTTAAAAATTAAAAGTTGTAGTTTCGTAAAACTACAAAAGAATTTCACAATAGGCGGTTGAAAGATGAACAAATTATTAGTAATGCAGTTATCAGTAAAATTTTTACTTGCAACGTATTTTTTTTTGCTGAGAAAAATTCTTTGTGGACGAACAGTGTGGGAGGCGAAAACATGTTATTTCATCACCCTGTAAATAACTCATGTGTGCATCATACATCTCTAGCGGTCTTTCTTACATTTCTTCGCGTCTATTTCTTTGTGTTCTTTTTCCTTCTGTTCTTTGTATTTCATTATCATTGTCATCACTTTAATGTCCTTCTTTCCATTGTGCTTCACCCGTTATTAAGTTCTGTAGTATAGTTTCCGGGGTTAAAGAAAGGCTTAGAATATTTTGTCTTGAATGATCCGTAACCTAAAAGGAACTGTGTAAGGAAAGTAATTTGTTTCCATATGGGTGCATTTTACCCACTCTTGCATTTTTGGTATTAATTTTTTAGTACAAGCAGCTATAAGCAGATATAACAGGAAATCTATCTACAAACCAATATCGTGATGTCGTGAATAAGACATATTCTAAGGGACACAGGAGCAGGGTATAATATCCGCTATGGTCATGCCTATTTCATTATTCTCGTTTACAAAATTATTTACATATCTTAAAAAAGTTAAGTGATATAATTCAACCTATTGTATTGCAACTGAACTTAATAATTTTGAATCATTAGCTATATTAAAT